TATCCCCTAAAGGGCTACCTTTCGTGACATGCTAACAACTTCACCAGACACAGGGGCGGACAATTGGTGGTTGGTTGGAGGACAGGCGGCGGGGAAGAGGAAGAGCGAGCGCAGCGATCCCAGCGCGAGCACCGAGTACTGCGCCTGCCACGCAAATCACACCAGCGCGTACATCCAACCCCTCGGCAAGCACCAGGTACCGAGCCAGCCACGCAAATCACACCGGCAGGGCTGCGGCGACTGCAGGGGCGCATCCAACAACCCCTTGGAGAGCACCAGGTACCGCGCCTGCCACGCAGATCACACAGGCAGGGCTGCGACCCCAGGGCGTGCGTCCAACCCTTTTGGAGTCCCTTAAAGAGCGCCAATTACCGTGCCTGCCACAGGGCTGCGGCGACCAAGCGACCCCAGGGTACATCCAACCCCTTGGAGAGCACCAAGTAGCGCGCCTGCCGCGCAAATCACACCGGCAGGGCTGACCCCAGGGTGTGCGTAGCACCAAGTACCGCGCCTGCCACGCAAATCACACCGGCAGGGCGTAGCACCAAGTACCGCAACCTGCCACGCAAATCACACAGGGCAGGGCTGCGGCGAAAGTCACCCCAAGGCACACCCAACCCCTTGGAGAGCACCAAGTACCGCGCGTGCCGTGCAAAATCACACGACCCCAGGCACCAAGTACCGCGCCTGCCACGCGAATCGCACCGGCAAGGGCTGCGGCGACCAAGCGACCCCAGGGCGTAGGAGAGCGCCAAATACCGCGCCTGCCACGCAAATCACACAGGCAGGGGCGGTCCGCTTGCCTCATGCTTCTTGTGCTGCAAAGCGATCATCTCGCTCCCCCGCCAAGCCCTCTGTTGTTAGCCAGAAGTAAATACGACCGTCGCAAGGAACTTCTTATGGTCCAGGGCGCCACCCACCTCTCTCCAAGAACTGAACTTAAATCAAGCCTATGCCAACTATCAAACTAGCAACGCCGTGCCCCTGTACAAAATCCAAAGCGGGTTTCAGAAGAACTTGGGCCTCTTCCTCTGGAACATCTTGCCAAGATCATCTCTGCAGTGTCTTGTTGGTTCACGCTTCCGTAGTCCCGCCAGGTGTCTTTGGCGCAGCCCTGCCTCCTGGAGTCAACCTCCAGAATGTGTACATCTGGTGTGGGAATGTCCTCTCTTGTGTCTCCTTCACTGGCTGTTGCCACCAAGTTGAATCGCCCCGCTGTCTGAAAGCTCTCAACAAAATTGAGCTCGGTGACACGATGTTGACGCCAGCCGGAAACTTCATCTGAGGTGATGGGAACTTTCTGCGAGGAAGGTTGTGATGCCTAATCAACCTGTCATCATCAAATTGCCACATATCTTTGTCAGCACCTGTAACATCTGGATCTTCGTCTGAGTCCATTCATCCTGCTGATCACCTGCTGCCAAGTTCAAGGCATGTTGGCCGTCACGGAAGGCCGTGCTCAAAGCATAATCTATCTCCATCTGATGTTTGACACCGTTGCAAATTGCAGCGCGCAAGTTTTGGGGGTATCTGGCAGCCGGCGCGGACCTGAGGCGCCAATGCCATGAACCAGGGAGTTTTGGGGGTTCCGGCAGCAAGGCGGACACTCTTAGAAAGCATTTACAACCCCTAACAGTAGCCTGTTTGGGGAAGTACAGAAATCACCTGGGAGACAAATGAATAGAAATGCTGGAAAGGGGAAAAGGGCGGATGCCAGCAGTGCAGGCACCGAACCCGGAAAACAAAAGTAAACAAACCACATGGGAAACAAATTAATCGAAATGCTGCATGGCCAGCGGAAAAGGGCGGACACCAGCAGTGCAGGCACCGAACCTGGGAGACAAAAGTAAAGAAATCATTTAGGAGACAAACGATTTGAAACGCTGCATGGCCAGCAGAAATGGGCGGACACCAGCAATGACAGAAAGGGCGGACACATCTTAAGAAAGAATTGAGAAACCCTACATAACGGCAAACTCCTTGGGGAATGAATAGAAATGTTGCATCGCCAGCGGAAAAGGGCGGACACCAGCAGTGACACATCTCGAAGACAAATGAACAGAAATGCGACATGGCCACCGGAAAAGGGCCGACACCACCAGCGACAGACTTGGGAGACAAATGAATAGAAATGCTACGTGGGCCAGCGGAAAAGGGGAAATGCTACATGGCCAGCGGAAAAGGGCGGACACCAGCAGTGACAGACCTGGGAAACAAACGAATAGAAATGCTACATGGCCAGCGGAAAAGGGCGATCTTCTGAGTTGCATGCCACGCAACAAGGTTTCCACTTGTGTCTTCGCTCGCGCGCGCCTCAAACCAGGGAGGGCCGCGTGCGCAACCAGAGCAATGGCTAGCAAAAGGGCGTGACCGTCTACATGTCTATGAACTTGGACTAGGACTTCGAGAACCTGGATCGGTGAGCTGCCTCTGCTTTACCAACATTGGTAGCGGAGCGTGGCACGCTCAAGGCCCGCTCCAGGGGATGGACCTTCTCGATGGCTGGGGGCACCATTGAAGCGATGGATACCTGCATCCCGGTCTTCAACAACCGCGTCGACTACAGGGAGTGGAGACAACGCATCATGCTCTGCAAGCGCAAGCTGGCGCTACAGGGCAAAGAGAAGGAGGCAATCTTGAACCTCCTGACCAGTCTTCATGGGGTGGCCTGGAAACAGGTGGAACACCTGAGAGTGTTGTGGAGTCCTCCGACGGCTTCGAGAAGGTACACCGCCTTCAAATATGATTGTCGGGTCGAAATGCCGAGAGCCTTGGAGAAGTTCTTCTATCAACTGACGAGGAGGGGAAACCAAACTCTCCAATCGTACTGCTCAGATCACAAAGAGCAGTTACGTGAAATAGAAAAATTCGGGATCCAAATCCTGGACAGCGTTTCGGGTCGGATGTTGCTGAGAAGGAGCCGGTTGGCCCGTGCGCCGCGCGAGTCCGGTCGGCGCAGGCCGCGATGCAAAGAATCTTGGGCTGATTGAAATCTGGATGTCATGGCAACAATCGCCTCATGTCCAAAAAATGGCCTATCTTGGAGAGAAGACACCAAGTCACCCGACGAGCACTGGAGCTCTCACTATGCTACGTGATCCTACAATCAATCGGAGCACCAACGTGCGAGGTTACAGTCCTGTTCAATGGGTGCTTGGCTGCACTCCACATGTTCCGGGTCTTCCAACTGAGGAACTCTTGGCGCCATCCAGATTGGAGCCTTCAGAGGAATTTCTCAACAAGCTGCAGAACCAGAAAGCTGCCGCCAATGCTGTTTTCGCAGCAGATGTGGACACCAGGCTACGACGTGCCCTCAACCGCAAGTACACCGGTCAACTGGCCATCTATCAACTTGGAGACTTGTGCTACTACTGCCGTGATGGTCCAGGAGGCATCGGTCCCAAACTTCTTTGGAGAGGACCGGCGCGAGTGGTCATGGTTGAGCAACTTGAGGCAGGAAACTAAGAGTACAGAAGTACAGAACAAACCTGTTGAGAGCAGCGCCTGAACACCTGCGACCAGTTCCACCAACCTCAACCTCAAAGCCTCCGGACGATGGTCCCTTCTTCAGAGCACAACAAGCATTGCAAGGCCTGAGAAGCCGAGGAACGACCCTGTACACTGATTTGACAAGGTCGAATAAGCGTCAACGACATGAAGTGTCCAGTGGAGATGAAGAAGAAGAGTGTGACCAGGAAGGTGAACAACCAGATGACCATGACGGATTACAAGATACCTGGCAGGTGAGTGATGATTGGAAAGTGTGGAGCAGAGTAAGACGAGAACTCTATGCCAGAGCAAGATGATGACATCCCCACGGACCGCTTCACAGATGAGCGAGTGACCAGACCTGGAAGACACATGAATAGAAATGCTGGAAAAGGGCGGACACCAGCAGTG